AGAAGAAGAAGAAGAAGCAGAAGAAGAAGAAGAAGCAGAAGAAGAAGAAGAAAGGACAAGAAGTGCTGACGCGACTGCATCTCTACAGTGGCAAGCCGCCTACGACAAGCTAGCAGAGCACGTCTTCGCCAACGAACCCAACACCTACACATACTACTTCGGCCTCCCGCTCGAGCACGCCGACAACCCCTCCCGCTCCGACTTCATGCTCGCCTTCGAGGTCTACGGCTGCCGCGACGACCTGTACGAGGTGCACCTCAAGTCCGAGGCCATGACCCAGGGCTTCCTGCCCACGGCGCTGCCCGTCATGACCACGGGGCTGGACCTCGTGCACTTCGGCGTCGCCGGCGGCTTCCTCGACTTCTCCGGCCGCAAGGACGAGTGCGGCATCATGCACGACGTGCAGATCCGCTGCGCCGACGCCAATGCGCGCCGCGAGCTGCTGGGCGCCCTGCGCATGCTGTGCCAGGCCGTCGAGCTGGCGCAGAAGCGCGACGGCAAGGGCGAGGTGCTGACCTTCCTCGGGCTGGAGAACCTGGACAACGAGGTCGGCGCGCGCATCTTCGCCCGGTATAAGGACCGCGAGACCCTCGAGGCGTGGCAGCGGAGTGATGTCTTCAAGGGGTTCTGGGAGGTCGTCAAGGCTGGTGTGCAGGACATGTCGGCCCGGGCGTACCGTCCTAACGGCAAGGGGTGGCTGTGGAAGTGAGCTGGCTATGTCTTGTGTGGTGGTGGGGGGGAGGAATGGATAACTCCAGCATGGCCTGCTATTCGGCCATTTGTACATTTTACCTCTCGCTTCAAGTTTCAAGTTGATAGACAGATGAGAGACATGTCTTTGATGAACAAACAGGAACGAATACGTAACAATATGAACGACTCGTCGGTATTATATGTGAGGCCCGTATCTGTACCATGACCACACACCTTAAGGGCCACGGCTTTTTCAAGGCCTTGAGTTCAATCTGCGGCATGGGAGCTATCGAGGTAGCCCCAGAATCCTCGACCATGGAAATGGAAAACCTGGAATGGCAGAACGAGGAGACTTGTCTAGCCGGGACAAAATAGAATAAAAAAAAGGAACTGACGAGATGGAACCATGACGACGACGACGACGACACGGGAAGACGAACATATTCGCATTTGAGGGACCATGTCATATTCGTGGAATCGTGGGATAATGCCATTCCTCTCTCAAATGAGAGCCAGACGCCTGAGGGCGGTGTGTAATGCCACCGACTCTAGTATCACCATGTTTGACCGACCGACCGACCGACCAAAAGAAAAACCGAAGAACGTGGGTTCCTATTCAGATTCCAAATATCACGTTAGCCGCATGCATGGGGTTGACAGACCGAGTGCACTGCGATATACGGTAAACACGACGGGACCAACGTACCCTCATTTCCTCCCCCTCCCTCTCGCTCGGCCCACCCCTTTCAACGAAGAAAATACATTTATCGCTGGGCGCTCCAGACGCTCTTGAGGAAGCCGTCGCGCTGGGCCAGGCGGTTCAGGGCGTCGTCGCTCTCGCCCATGGAGCGGACGAAGCCGCAGAGGGCGTAGGTCTGGTTCTCGCCCTGGACGGCACGGCCGTTGTCGTCGACCTTGGCGATGGAGATTTGGACGGAGGCGTGGTCCTTGGCCTTGATGATGCGGTTGGTCGCCGAGCACTTCCTCGGGACGTAGCTGGAGGGAAAGACAGTGTTAGTATGCGGATGCCCTCGTAGGTGATGAAATGGACGCGATGTGTCCGTCTATCCCCCGTAGAGTGGCAATTCGTCTTTCTCGCATCTCGAATTCGCGGGGTAGGAAACCTGGGAAGGGAAGGGGAAATGCGTACAGGTCGACAATCTCGCCGCGGTCGTTCTCCATGGCTGCGGTTTTGTGTAGGATCTGGGCCTTGACGAGGTGGTTTTGCTAGGGGGTTGTCGTCGCAAGTTGAATCGTCGGGGACGGGGGACGGGGGACGGAAGCGATTGAAAGGGCAAAAGTCACAATTTTGATCAATTTTGGTGGGTAGGTCGAATTTTCGATTGGTGGGGTACGTACCTCGACTTGTTTGCCGAAAAGAGGCCCAGAAACCCGCTTGCCCTGAATGGTGGGTCATGTGACCAGAAGTCAAAGGCAGTGGGGTAGAGTCACGTGATTACGTGCTAGTCTCGTGGTCTCCAGCAAGGGGAGCAAGGGAGCCCCTGTTTTTGTTGATTCTGGTTGTCACAGAGGCACGATATGGACAACGCAACAAAAGGAAAAGAAAAACAAAACCACCAAATGTCCTGACGATCCACCATAAATCTTGTTCTCAGGTACTATAGTCAATCTGCTGCGCATCGCTCCGGGAAGATGCGCTTGGCGCATTCGCCAGAGGACCCTCGCCGCAGCTACCACGACAACGACCGTCATGGCAACTCCGTTCAAGCCTCCGCCTCTGCCTCCGTCTCGCCATGACGACTCGTCGTCCCCTTTCCCGACTCTCGACGAGATTCGGTTCGGGATTACCAAACCTTCCCGAAAACACGAAGAATTTGCGCGTTCATCTTCGCATCACACCCCGGTGCCAACCACCCACGCTGCGAGCTTCCTAACCACAAAGCAGACGCCAATCGACCTGGTGACGCCTGCCAGGTTACTACCCACGGAGCCCATCGACGACGACTATGAAGAGGACCCTGTTCAGGTGATTCGGATCCCGGCACCTGGGACAAAGAAAGGCAGGCGGAAAGCGGGTTCTGGTAGACTCCGCGAGGTGAAGCCCAAACGACCGAAACCACCGACGGGGGAGGAGACGCCGGACAAGAAGCCCTGGAAGAAGTACAAGCCGAGCGAATCCCCCGAGTCGGAGGCTAGGTGTGGTAAAGCAAAGACAGGTCAAAGGAAGGATAAGACGAGAAAGGCGTCGGAGGTGCGAAGCCATTACTTTCCCACGGTCAAGCCGAACAAGTCGAAAGAGTCCAACGAGTCGAACGGTGATCAGTCGGAGGTTCCGGCACCACAAATTGCCGATGCTGACGCTCCACTCGAGCTACCTCCAGCTTCTAAACGGAGGTTGGATTGGACACCCCCTCCGGCCGACAAACTCATCAACCTTGACCCCGCGTCTTCGGATATTCGAGAGCTGGTATCATCTACGGCAAAGCACCCGAGCAATGACGCGTCAAAGGAGGTTTTTGGGCATTTCCTCGCCAAGTACGGCCGGGAGGAGGAACAAATCGAAGCGGCTGTAGTTGGTTCCTTGGAGGGAATACCAGAGATCTTCAAGAAGAGAAAACAACCCGAGCTAGCGGTCCCTGAGGGAACAGACACGTCACCGATCAAAAAAGCCCCCAAGAAGAAGAAGAAGCCCCGGACCATCACGGAACTGGCAACGGCGGCGTACGCTAGACCCGACGAGTCGGAGCAAGAACCGCCCACGGCATCTATTCTCGATTACGTCCAGCAGCAAGCCAACGCGGGAGACGCGGGCGCGAAAGCTACGAAGAAGCCGGGTAGGAAACCGACGAGGAGGAAAAATGGCAAGGCTGCGCCCCCCGAGCCCGTGCTGCTATCCCCGAACGCGGCGATTCGAGAGGTGGCCAAGCAGGATTTCGTGTTCGGAACGTCGAGTCAGCTGGCAAGGGAGCAGTCGCCGACGGTACTCAGAGACCTGCAAACGGCCCTTCGACTTTCCAACGAGGAGGCGTGCGAGGACGGCGACCCATTCGTGATCCCGATCCACAGCGATCCCTTCGAACCGGAACAACGCCGCCGGAAACTATGGGAAGTCGGCGCCCGGGATGAGGACGGTGGGCTGCTGGACCTTGAGGTCATTAATCTCGTCGACACGCCCCTGGCGAAGGTGCCGCTGCCAGAGGATGATCCGTTTGGATATGTCGGCGATGCGAAACGCGTCATGTCCCTGCGGAGAGAGAGGTCTCTCTCGGTTCATGACGAGAGCTTTCCGGATGTGGACGTGCTTCTGAAGGACGCGTCAGCCGGTCGGAGAGAGGAAGGGGTCTCGGGCGAAAAAGCGGTCCCGAGTGCATCATCATTCCGTTCCTCGTTTTTGGTGCCGCGAGACCTGTCGAGGCCGAGTGCGACTGTTATGACTACAACCACGATTGCGACTACAAGCGCTGGCTCCGGCACAAAGCAGCTGTGCACTCCGCCGTATTCGGGCCAAACTGCGGGTGCTTCACAGACATCTACATTGGCTCCGGCAGCTGCGCAGAAACTGGACACCTCGTCCAGCCATCCCGGACCGTCAACAACACAGACCACCAGTGCAGCAGCCGGCCCGGGAGTCCCACCGAAACCCAAGTACGAGCTATACACGGATTCGCAACTTTCTAGGGAGATCACATCCTACGGTTTCAAGCCGGTCAAGCGAAGGGCTGCCATGCTCGCACTGCTGGATCAATGCTGGGAAAGCAAGCATACCAGAGCTCGGGCGGCACTAAGCCCGCTTCCGTCGAACCGGTCGCTATCCACAACTTCGCAGAAGCAGCAGCAGCAGCAGCAGCACAAGGGAGCCGGCGCAACCGAGCCTACCAAGGCCACAGCTCCGCAACCGGCGGCGAAAAGACCACGGGGTCGACCACGTAAGGACAGTACTGCAAGCAAAAAAGCCCATGATGCGACAAAACCAAAACCGGGGACAAAGGCAGGCAGGGAGGCCAAGGCACCGGCTTCGGAAACGACAACGGCAAAAACAGCAACGGTCGAACCTGTGCAGCCAGCAACGCCGACAAGGCCAAAGAGACGGACGGCCTCCTCGAGATGCAAGACGCAAAAGCCCGCAGCCGAGGTGATCGAAATACCGGACTCCGCGTCCGACAGCTCGGCGGCCCTGACGTGCTCGCCCGACGGGTCCTTCTCTTCACCGCCCGGGGTGGAGATCGTGTCGCTCTCGCTGGACGAGGAGACGGAAACGTCGCTGGTCCCGCCGGTCTCTTCTGCGGCGGCGGCGGCGGACCAGCAGCAGTCGGGGCTCATGCGGCATATCACGCGGGCGATCAGGGACGCGCCTCCCAGCAAAGACCCGAGCCGGCCTTCGTGGCACGAGAAGATGCTCATGTACGACCCGGTGATTCTGGAAGATCTGGCGGCGTGGCTGAACTCGGGACAGCTGACCGGGGTGGGATACGATGGCGAGGTGTCGGCGTGGGAGGTGAAGCAGTGGTGCGAGTCGAAGAGTGTGTGTTGTCTCTGGCGGGTGAATGTGTCGGGCAAGGAGAGGAAGAGGTTTTGAGGGGGGTTGGCGACATTGGGTTACCCGGAATTATACCTTTGGAACTATGGGTTTCTGTATATGATCATTTTGCGTGGGAGAACTTTAGAGGTTGGTAAGAGTCGTCGTTCCGGGTATCGACGGTTGTCATGGTACGTACTGCATCGCATGTACACCCACTGTACACCACTGTACATATACTTTGTACATACAGCTTCAGGGGTTCAGAACGGACCTCGGCAAAAAAAAGTCCCCGCCATGAATCGCATTAATCCCAGCGAGCTGGAGTCCCAGGACTTGAATCCCCGTGATATTCGTACATATCATATAACCGAATGGAGGAGACATACTTCAATGGTCCCTGGTCTTCTCCCCCCAAAAACAACAACAGAAATATGTCTTTTAGATCACCGATCCGAAAGATATTAGCATCCGGTCTTTTGTCTTGTCCTCACTCAGGTATTGGTGTAACAGTAGTAGCAGCCTCATCTCATAGCCTCCAGCCCTCATCGCGCATCCCAACACGGTCACCGAGAGGACAACCTCACTTTTCACCGCTCCCTCGGCGCAACCAAATCATGTCACAACAAAAAAGAGAAGCCTCAACTGGGTCAAAGGCGAAAAGACCTGTACCTGAACCCCGGCCTAGCTCAAGGTCTGTTAAAAAAAGAACATTGAAAAAGAAATGGCTGCCCCTTACCATCACGACTCTCACTAACAAGCTTCTTCAGCATCGTCCTCCTCTCCCCCACCAACCAGGTCCTTCTCCTCCACCGCGTGAAGACGTCAAAATCCTTCGCATCAGCCCATGTCTTCCCCGGCGGAAACCTCGACAGCTACCAAGACGGCACCATCCCCCCGGCTGATTCCCTCGAGCGCCACCAAGACGGCCCAGCCTACCGCCTCGGCGCCATCCGCGAATGCTTCGAAGAATCCGGCATCCTCCTAGCCACCCGCAAAAACGCAACAAAAAAAGACGACGTGTCATCGACCGCCAACGCCAACGCCGACGCCGACGACCGCGTCCTCGTCAGCCTCTCCCCCACCGAGCGCGACGCGGCCCGCAAACGCATCCACGCCAACGAAGTGCGCTTCGCCGACTGGGTCGCCTCCGTCGGCGGCGCGCCCGACCTCGACGGCCTGATCCCCTTCACGCGCTGGGTGACGCCCACCAACGTGGCGCGGCGGTTCACGACCCAGATGTACCTCTACCTCATCCCGGACGTGTCGCTCTCCCCCTCGTCGTCGTCGTCGTCGTCGTCATCGTCCACGGCCGCCGAGGCGGCACGGCAGAGGGAGATCATCGTGGCGACGCCCGACGGCGGGGTGGAGCACACGGCTGCGCGGTTCGACGACGCGGCGGAGTGGATTGCCCAGGCGGATAGGGGGGAGATTATTTTGTTTCCGCCGCAGTACTACCTCTTACGGCTCGTTGCGCGGTTTTGCACCGGCGGCGGCGGGGGAGGGGACGCGGCGTCGCCGGCCGGGTTTGCGGCGCAACGAGAGCGGCTGTGCGCTTTCTTGAACAAAGTGCCCGCTTCGTCCTCGGAAAAGGGGGTCGGACAGCCCACGGCTCGGATCCCGTGGTCGGAGAAGGTGATGAGCCCTCATACCCTCTTCATTCGGAAGGGGGACGGGCGGATCGTCTTGGGTCTCGATAAGCCTGGTCCGGAGCTCAAGGACTCGGGCCGGGGCGGCGACTGGGATCATGTCGTCGTCGTGAGGTTTGCCAAGGATGGGCCGAGGGAGGTCGAGGTGCGAGGGCGGGAGGATGTGCTTAAGGAGGAGAGGGAGGCGGGGCACGGAGAGGGTGCTGCTGAAAACTCGGGAGGCTCTGGAGATGCTAAGAATAGCAAACTCTGAGTCTTTTCCCCTTTTTTTCTCCTTTCCTTCCTTTTTCTTTCCTTTTTCTTTCCTTTTTCTTTCCTTTTCCCTTCTCTCTTGGACCTTCCCTTCGCTGCACAGCCTCCCCTCCTACCAGGCTGCGGGCGTTGCACCGTCGTTCCCCTGCCTACATGTAGCAACCACTCGGTCCCGACCCCCCTAGTCCTCAAGCTGGTAACACGACTGTCCGATTACTGATAAATCATCCGCACCAGAATCGGGTCCATCAGCCATTACCGACCGATCGGGGTGCATATTGTCGCCTCATTGTCACCTACACCTCGTGGAGTGTTCGGAGGCGCAGCTTACTTATACTGTTATACGCCCGTCCCCTCGGACGAACACAAGCAGAAATGAAAATCATGGGGTAAAAATGGGGCGCGCACCAGAGACGATGAACGGGGGGCATGCGAAACTCCCCGACAAATGCGGCTCAACTTATCTGCCTACCTACCCACCTACCTACCTACCTACCTATGCAGGGTAAACCTTCATATCTACCCTTCCGCAGAACCCCGAGGACTCGCGCCGCTTCTCCACCCCGGCATCCTACTTTGGACCCCTTTCCTATCCGAAATATTCACCACCCCCCCCCCCCCCCCCTTTCCCCCGGGAGAGATGGGGGTGTATGAAGGAGACCAGTCGGCCGCAGGTGAATGGCATGACCGGACACACTGCGTCGTGGAACTGCATACGCCATTGGGTGGGAATAAGTTATCACCCCCCCCCCCTTGGGGGCCGCAGAGTGTTCATGCCCAGTGTGTCTGGTATTTCCTCCCCCACACCTACGGACCACAGACTGTTCAGTCAGTGGGACTGCGGATTGGGGGAAGTTATCTCATTATTCTCCATACCACATGGCTACTGGCTGGATCCCGAATCATCGGCATGCCATCCGATATTATTTACGTTGCAATGCAGGAAAGGGTTGCCGGTCCTCGCAGCATAGTATCATGGAGTCTCCTTTCCTTGGTCCGCAGTTTTCAGTACCTACGTGTCAACGCCTGAATAGAGAGAAATGGGATTATGGGAAGAAGGGGGACAAATGAAAAGGCCTTGGCTCAACTGTTTTGACCGGTGAACCATTCACGACTTTCCTTCCGGGTGTCGATCGTCCTTATCCCCTCCATCGTCACGCTATGGGTATGGCTGGGTACCGCCGTTCCACTTTCTCGACCACACCTCATACCTGATATTGTTGTGGGTGGGACGGGATCCAGGAACCTCGAGAGCGTTTCCGCTATGAACCTCCCAGGTGGACAAGATCTGCTCTCGTCGGCGATTTTGGGCCTCATCGAGTCGCCGCTTTGGGTCCAATATGAACGTTCCATGAGTATCATCTGTCCTTGATACCTCGACCCTGTATTTCACCGGTTGTCGTTGACTTGGGAAAGCTGGGACATCACATGGGGGCCCGGGATGCGAATCAATGCACCTGTGCTTGCATTTGACAGTATCCGATGGTGCAAGTCATTGCGAGATTCGTGGCATCTCTGATGGAACCAGACCGGCAGGAGGAATGGTATTCAGTTGATGCGCTTCGCTTGCTCTGCATATGCAGCAGCATGTCATGTTCTTTACCATTCTCATGCCTGCCCATGTCCATGACCATGACCACGTCTGTCTTCTGCTCGGTCTCCTATTCTAGTCTTAGTCTGACTCTGAGTTCTCCTCAGCCGTTTCCCATCCGAAAACAAACAAATAAAAAAAAAGCCGTCTCTCGTTACATCCCATGTTGCATAGTCGCCACGCAGCGCGGGTGTCGAGTTGTACTACACTGCCCTTCCGCTATACTTCATGTTTCCTTGGCACCATATCCGCGCAACCGGCGGCTAGGAACGACAAAGAGAAATCGCAAGGGGTTTGCGCTATCCATCGGGAGACGTGACGTTCACTTGACCGCCCCAGGTCTAACTTGTCGCTGTCCCCCTTCGGGTCTCTGTTCCATCCAGTAAGAATGGGTTGACCTACACGGCCAGTTAGAGACTCCTAAGCTGGTCTTTTCCTCTCTGGCGGACCGTTCGTGTGCCCCCCTGGGTCGATATGAAGAAGTATAAATATATCTGACATGGCCCCCGTTCTTCGCGAGATGATGGAGCCTCCTATCGTATGGTCAGCCGAGCGCTGTAACAAGGCATTACTCTATCTAAGAAAGAAACAAAAAAAAAAAAAAGACGAATCCTCTTCATTGATTGTTGGGACCTCCTATTCCCAGACCTCCTATTCGCACCCGGTCCACTACGTCTTATCAAAGTCGACTTCCTCCATACGGAGACCGGGACTCGTCGGTCTACATACACTTGACCCCGTTTCGTCCTGCCCTTTCCCACAGACCACAATGTCCAAGGACGACGCCGGACCAAAGAAGTATGAGCATCTTCATGTTGCAAACCCGTTGTTGTCAACAAGAGACCAGCCCAGGCTAACAAGAGACCTCTCTGTAGACACGACAGAGAGAGCACGCCGATGATGGATGCGTGGCTCAATGACGACCAGAACATTTCCGAGTATCTGTATTCCATGACCACCAACTCGAACTCGGATGCGACGACGGAGCAGAGCGAGGAGGGTGCGGGTGAGTCGGGGGGGAACAACGAGGGAGATGCCCAGGGCTGAGCCTGAAAGTTGAAACCAATGCCCGTCCCTTGCGACCTAGGCTTTGACGCAATGTGTAATACGTTGTATGACCTTGAGCGTCTTGAAGTAGGTGGTGGCCTCGGCCCTCGGACTTTTCATTCACATGTCTACCTATTGGATCATCATTTCCACTCAAATGTCTTTATATATCGCGCGTGAAATTGGATATAAAAATATCGCGGTCTTTGCAGTCAGGCATCTCTGATATCGCCAAACTCCCTGGCTATGCACTTTGTTGTGTGTCGAAGTAAGTAGTCAAGATAGTTAAATTACCGAACCCTATGTTCGTCCATCTCATGGATACAGATATGGATAGGAAAACAGTCTTCTCTCCGGGTTCATTTGAACATACTATACGCCCAAGTCGTTACCCCTAAGACACCCTGGTGGACGAGAGATGGATTGGTGAAGAGGATGATGTGAAGATAAGGCGTCCAGATGGTTGGGCTTGACTTATAGTGTATGACAATGTACGACACTGTGCTTGCTAGGTATTTTATTACCGAAAAAGATAGACGCATACATATACACAGTCCATAGCACTGTAGCGCCGGACAGACCAATCAGGAGAGCTGTTGCCCCATAGCCATCGAAGGAGCTAGAAGGAGCTCGTCGTCAATTGCCCAACACGTTACTGTACGGAGTACACCCGTACCGTACACCGTACACAGTACCTGGCAGGCAGGTACGAGGGACGGATAAGGTAGTGGGCAGCTTTTAGTTTTTCATCGTCGTCTTTCCTTTCCTTCCTTCTTCTCTTCCCACATCGTCTACCTTCATATTTGGCTGTGCTTGTTTCTCTACCAATTTTCTTTTCAAAGACAAACCGACAAACCCCAGAGTCATTTCGCGAGAGCACGTTTCTGAACGACAGAAGAATTCCCAACGGCAAATCGACCAAATCGACGACCTCTCCTGTGATCGTACCCCTCTTCTCTCCCATCATCTCCCAGCTTCTCAGCTTCTCAGCTTCTCAGCGCCAACCCCTCACCGCCAAACAATCAATCCTCCCTCTCCCTTGACCTATGGCGTCCGCAGACGAGCTCAAGGCTCTCGGCAATAAGGCCATTGCCGCAAAGAATTTCGACGAAGCCATGTAAGCTAGCATCCCCACCTGCTATCCACTGTCCGCTGTCCGCTGTCCGCTGTCCGCTGTCCGCTCTTCAATGCCAATGCCTGTGCCCTTCCTGTGCCCAAACGCTACCTTGAGCTAACCCCGACACCCCAGTGACAAGTTCACCCAGGCTATCGCTATCGACCCTTCAAACCACATCCTCTACAGCAACCGCTCGGCCGCATATGCCTCCAAAAAGGAATGGAACAAGGCCCTAGAAGATGCCGAGAAGACCACCCAGCTGAAGCCCGACTGGGCCAAGGGCTGGGGCCGAAAAGGCACCGCACTATACGGCCAGGGCGACTACCTCGGTGCCCACGACGCCTACGAGGAGGGCCTCAAGCACGATCCCTCCAATGCCGGCCTCCAGAAGGACCTGGCCTCCACCAAGAGGGCCATGCAGCCAGAAGCCGGCGGTCCGGACATGGGCGGCGGCCTCGGCAACATGTTCAACGACCCCCAGCTGATCCAGAAGCTAGCCAGCAACCCCAAGACCAGCTCTTTCCTCGCCGACCCTTCCTTCATGACCAAGCTCCAGCAGATCCAGAAAAACCCCAACAGCCCCGATCTCTTCTCCGACCCCCGCATGCTGCAGGTTCTCGGCGTTCTCATGGGCGTCGACCTACAAATGCGCGACCCGTCTGACATGCCCGAGGCTGCTGGGACGGCGGCGAATGCTGGCCGCGAGGAGGAGATGACCGACGCACCAGAGCCCCCGCGTCCCGCCGCCCCACAGAAGGCCCGCGAGCCCGAGCCCGAGCCACAAGAGACCGAGGACGAAGAGGTGCTGGCCAAGAAAAAGGCCAAGGAGGAAGCCGACAAGGAGAAGGCCCTGGGCACCGAGAACTACAAGAAGCGAAACTTTGACGACGCCATCGCCCACTACACCAAGGCCTGGGACCTGTTCAAGGACATCACCTACCTCAACAACCTCGGTGCCGCCCACTTCGAGAAGGGCGAGTACCAGGCCTGCATCGACACCTGTACCCAGGCCGTCGAAGAGGGCCGCACCATGTACGCCGACTTCAAGCTCATCGCCAAGAGCTACGCCCGCATCGGCGCCGCCTACGAGAAGCTGGGCAACCTCCAACTCGCCATCGAGAACTACAAGAAGTCGCTGACCGAGCACCGCACCCCGGACGTCAACACCAAGCTGCGCGCCGCCGAGCGCAACCAGATCGAGCAGGCCCGCCTCGCCTACATCGACCCGGCCAAGGCCGAGGAGGCCCGCGAGGAGGGCAACCGCAAGTTCAAGGAGAACGACCTGCCGGGCGCCGTCGCCTCGTACAGCGAGATGATCAAGCGCGCCCCCGACGACCCCCGCGGCTACAGCAACCGCGCCGCCGCCTTCGTCAAGCTGATGGAGTTCCCCAGCGCCCTCGACGACTGCAACACCGCCATCAAGAAGGACCCCAAGTTCATCCGCGCCTACATCCGCAAGGCCCAGGTCTACTTCGGCATGCGCAAGTACTCCGAGTCGGTCGACGCCTGCAGCGAGGCCAAGCTCGTCGACCAGGAGCACCACAACGGCGCCAACAGCCGCGAGATTGACCAGCAGGAGCAGAAGGCCTTTGCCGCCATGTACTCGGCGCGGGAGAATGAGACGGAGGAGCAGACCAGGGAACGCTTGTCCAAGGATCCTGAGGTCAGTTCTCTTTTTTTTTTCCTTTTTTTTTTCCCTTCCCCTCTCTCTCTCTCTCTCTTCTTTTTTTCTCTTGTTCCCCTCTTTTTTGTCCTTTTTACCCCCCTCCCTTCCCACCCTCTCCGCGAAATGGAAAACGAAGTGGCTAACACGACTGTCTCGGTAGATCATGAGTATTATGGCAGACCCCGTGATGCAGGCTATCCTACAACAAGCCCAATCCAACCCCGCCGCCCTGCAGGACCACATGAAGAATGCCGACGTCCGATCCAAGGTGCAAAAGTTGATCGCTGCAGGCGTCATTCGTGTCGGCCGATGAAGACAACAGGAGGAGCCCCGATCGACAAGACTAAAAAAAAAGAAAACAAAAACGTGGAAAAATCATGATGAATTCAAGAGGAAAGAAATCAAAAAAAAAAAAAAAGACGGAGAACAACAACCACAAGGTCTCACCATATACGACCACCCGTCCTGTCACGATCACGAAACTCACGCAGCGGATGGTCACGTCTAATAGATGATCAGGTAAAATCCCATGATACCGTGTAACCCTTCATTTAATCCACCCTACATAGTGTTGGTAGTGGTTGCGCAGTGTGACCAATGAAGAGAGACATGTTGAAAACGAATCGAGTCTCGCGCCGAGCCGAAGCAAAGTCGATCCACGTGAACTGAGCGGTCCGCAACCTGATGATGGTGTGCCACATGACCACATTCTTTCTTCTTTTCCCCATGCATCAGCCATGGACGACGGGACGGGGCTGTAGTCGCAGCTTCGCCTCGCTCTACCCTACCGAGACAAGAGTTGATTCCCACCCTTGCCGATTTGCGACGAATACTGAACACCCTTGTCTTCGGGTTTGCCTTTTTTCGGGGTTTCCGCCAAATCAATGTACACAGTGTACCGTAAAACCCTCGACTCGACTGCTGGATGCCTAGATACCCTTGGCTTTACCCATGGCTTTACCCATGGCTTTACTCAAGTAGGGCCAGCTGACAAGGGTGGCTTCGTGTCGACTCATCACGAGTATATGACCATGGTCCCGCGATGGCATGGCCGCATCTCCTCAAGGACCAAAGTGCTCCACGTCTAGGACGGGGGCATCTTTCCCTCGTGTTCTGTGTGTTCCCTCGGACCTTCAAATACTAACTGCCTCAACCAGAGAAACCGTAACTGTCCTGTCACCTATCAACATGTAGCTTCTCGAACACTTCTTCTGTACTCCGTTGCTTGTGTGTCCTCCCTTGGGCATTTGTACCTCGTTACTCTTTGCTTGCTTTCTATCTAAGTTCCTGTGCACAGAGAAGGATTGTTCACCAGCATAACTGGGATGGAATCACCCATGGATGAAGGTAAGTTTCGCCATCCCCGCTTCCCCTTCCCTGCACCGTACCCTAGCCGTACGACCTTGCAACTCATGTCTTGACACCAGCGTACCGCCGGCTTGTCGACGCCATCATAAACGACCCCGACGACAAAGTAACCGAGGAACACATCCACCAGCTAATCGCCTCGCTCCCATCCGTCGTTCTCGCGACCGACACCTCGAAGCGCACGCCGCTACACCATGCCGCCCTGGTCGGCAAGCTGGCTGTCTTGCATGCCATCCTCGATGTCGCCCCAGACTCGGACATTGATCTTCCAGACCTTGAAGGCTGTACACCTCTCCACCTCGCCGCCCGAAACGGACACGAAGCCGTCGTCCGTGCCCTCCTGCGACACGGAGCCGACGTGCGGCGCGAGGAAGCGTTCGGGGAAACACCACTACACGAAGCCGCCCGCCACGGCCATGTCGCTCTCGTCCGTCTCTTTGTCGAGGGGGGCGGGGCGGTAGTCGATGCGGGCAACCGCGACGCCAGCACGGCGCTTCACGTGGCGGCCCGGCGCGGCCATCTCCAAGTCGTCGAGGTCCTCCTGGCCGCGGGCGCCAACCCGGCCACTCGCGATAAGGTTGGCGACACACCGCTCCACGACGCCGCGCGGGCGGGCCACGCCCGAGTCGTTGCTACCCTCCTATCCTCCGGCCTCGTCAGCGTCGACGCGCGCAACGCCAACGGCCTGACGCCCCTCAGCGTGGCGGCGCGTCACGGCCGGGAAGCCATCGTGCGGGCGCTCCTCGAACGCGGCGCCGACGTCGATGCCGTGAGCTCCGAGTTTTGTTCGCCCCTCCACCAGGCCGCCGCGGAGGGCCACGACGCCGTCGCTCGCGTCCTCATTGCCGCCGGCGCCGACGTCGACCTGCAGGACAAGGACGACCACACGGCGCTGCACGCGGCCGTCATCTTCGAGCATCCCGATGTGGTGGGCAGCCTTTTGGCCGCGGGGGCCTCGCTCGACCTGCGCGACGCCGAGGACTGCACGGCGCTGCACCACGCCGTCAAGAACGGCAGTGTGGCCACCGTGCGCGAGCTTCTCGAGGCCGGCGCCGATCCTACCATCCTGTCGGCCTGCGGAGAGACGCCGCACAGCCTGGCGCGGGTGTTGGGGAAGGAGGCCATCATGCAGCTGTTCGTCAGTCCCCAGGTCATCCCGCGGCAGGGCGTGGCGGCGAATTTCCGCCCGCGCAAGGCCCGAGGTCCGTCGCTGCCCAGCGACGGGCCGGAGATCGATGTCTGCAAGCATTTCCGCGGTGTTTTCTGGTGCCCGACGTCCGAGAGCACGTTTGACGACATGTCTGTTTGGGATATCCTTTACGAACTTGAAGCCGAGGCCAAGCTTTGCCCCGCGCCGCCTGGACCGGAGTCGCTTACGACGCCGCCGGCCTCTCCGGTCTTGGGATCTCCGGCTACCGGAAGGTCGGGAGACGGACCTGCTACCATACAGCATCACCAACAGGGTCACGACCTACCGGTATCGCTTTCTGGACACGAGAAGAACAGGGTCAAGCGTTGGATTCACCTCCCGGCCAATAACATCGCCTGGGTGCTCGACCTCGTCCAGAAGCTGCACGCCATGGACGGCAGGACGGAAGAAGAGTGCGCGCGCGTCTTGCGCTTCGTTCGCGACACGTTCCTCGAGATGCGCTTCAGCGCGCCCTACCGCAAGCCGCATTTCCGCCGCGAGCGGACGGCCACCGGGCCCCTGACGTCCGCGTCTCCTTCTGCCGGAGGCGCCTCGTCCTTCTCGGCCTCGCTCCGCCCGGACGAAATGTTCTCCCTCGTGATACCGGTCGTGGACGTCGACATGGACGACAAGACGAAGGAACGGCTGCGGCACGCGGGCGAAGGCATCTTCAACGGGCAGGGACAAACCCCACAGCAGTTTCAGGTGCCGCGGCGCGAGCTCATGCGGGAGAGCACGGCAGAACGGCGCCGTTCGCTCAGCGTCATGCCGACGAACCTACAGCATTACCTGTTCCCCCATCTGAAACACCTCGATGCCATGACGGGACTGCGCAAGATCTTCACCAAGTCGGAGCTCCACACGCCGCGGACGCTGGACCAGTCGTACCACGAGTCGCTGAGTCGGGAGGAGGTACGGTGGCGCAACGAGAGCCAAGTGCTCTACCGGTACCTGAAGCGGCTCGAGTGCGAGGCGGAAGAGGAGAAGAGGCGGAAACAGGAGAAGAAGGAGGAGCAGAAGAAGAAGAAGAAAAAGAAGAAGAAGAAGGAGGAGGAGGAGGAGGAGGAGGAGGGGCGCAAGAAAGACAAGGGAGCCGATGGTAACGCGGAAGGCGGTAGTTCTGCGGCAGCTTCGGCGGCGGCGGGCGGTGGTCAGCAGTCGTTATCGGTATCGACGTCGTCGGCTTCGGCGAGTCGGCCGTCCGGAGATCCTTTCAAGAACCGCGAGTTCCTGTCGGCGCAGTCGAGCGATAAGCAGAAGCGGTCGGACAGCACCAAGGAGCAGCTTATGCGTATGTTGGCGCGGCAGGACGTGGCGAGCAGCATTCGGGCGCGGCAGGCGGAGACGGCGGCGAGGGAGAGGAGGAATTTACCGCTGGAACAAGAACGGCGCAAGCAGGTGCTGGTGGTATCGCAGCTCTGGCTTTGGCGAATTGACGAGAGTATGTTGGTCCCCGGGAGATGGGCAAAGAAAATTTCCGTCTTGGGCTCTTTCTGACTGGTAGAACCCTGCAGACAACATCATCAGCTGCTACCCCGAGCGGTGGGACGACAAAAACGCGCAAACGCTCCTCAACGAGTTCAAGCACCGCATCGTGGGGCTCCGGGGGCTCAAGAACCCGTCGGCGGACATGATCCGCGTGGTGGAGCAGATCCTCGAAGCAGCCGTCTCGTTCAGCGAGGAGGAGTTCCACTTCCAGTTCGCGGGCGGGCCGCGGTCCTACAGCAACGCGTTCGCGAGCTCGATCGCCTGGGTGTCCAACGAGGCGATGAAGCGGTACGCCGCCTTCCGGGCCTCGCTCCGGGGGATGCGCACGTCCAAGAGCCTCCTGAGCGGCGACCTCCGCGTCGAGATTGGGCTACTGCAGGAGATCGAGGACGTGCGGGAGGAGATCAATATGGTGCAGCGCGTGCTGAGGGAGCAGGAGCGTGTGGTGGGCGAGTTTCATGCGGCCATGGACCCGGGCTGCGTGTTGTTGGAGCAGGCGGGCGGTGCTGGTGGCGGGCCGGGCGCTGTGTTTTCGCATCCTACGTTGGATTTCTTTACGAGGTTGGAGATGGATGCTACCCGCGTGCGGGATTCGGTGGGTTCTTTTTATTTTTCTGTTGTTACTGCTCTCTGGACTAACATGGCGAGGGGCGACGTGGTTAGATTACAACCTTGCTGGACCTCCGTCAACGCGAAGCCAACATCGAAGAAGCCCTGTCTGCCAACGAGCAATCCAAGATTCTCTTCATCTTCACCGGCGCTACCGTCGTCTTTGTACGTTGTCTTGAACTGTCTTGCTACACATCATCCTGCCAGCAGAAGTCCTTACTGACACCGCTCCAACAACCGCCCCCCCGTCCTTCAAGGCCCCTCTATCCTGGATCACGGGCGTCTTCGAAGTAGACATTGAAGGTCTCCCCAATCCACTAAGACCTGTACATGTAGCCCTCGGAAGCCGTACGTATTTCCGCAGTAGTCTCGTCCTGTGTGTGTCCCTTCTTGCTAACCAAATCCCCTATATTCAACACAAAGTGGGAAGCCTCCTCGGCACAATCCTCATCATCTACATCGCCCTCAAAATCTACGAGTTCCTCCTCCAAAACGAAGCCAGCGCGGACCGCTACACCATCCAAGACATGTTCCTCCTCCTCCTCGGTCGGTCCCGCCGCGGTCTCAACAACAATGGCGGTGAGGATAACAAGAAGAGGAAGAAAAGGGAACAAGGGGACCCCTTTTTCGAATCGCTCTCCAGGTGGTCGGCTCGGGATCTCGACGGTGGGCCGCAACAGCAGCAGCAGCAGACGCAGCAGACACAGCAGCAGACGGCTCGATCGTCGGCGTTGCGGTCCGAGGACCTGCTCCCCACCGCGGCCCGGGAAGGTGGCGTCGGCGTGGCGGCGAGGCTGCGGCCTTTGCGGCAGCGGCTCGTGTGGTTGGGACGGGATCGGAGGCGGAGACTTGATGAAGAGACTGCAGGGGTGGGGGTTTCCTAAGCCCCTCTGGTGCCCCTCTGGCCCTGTTAAGCTGGATGAAGCTCTGCACAAGGTTCTGCACAAGGTTGGATAGATGGGTGTGTTGCGGGTTTGTGCTCTACTTTGGAAACTACGGTTTGATTTTTGAATATGCGTTTAAAGCAGGGTATATTTATGAGTTTGGTATAATGGGGTATATAATCGACATGCAAGTCGAATGTCGCAGTGAATCGAATCAACTATTTACAGCATCGCTGAACTGCATCCTTCCCCGTGTTGGCAACGTCAGAACGAAAGAGAACGAACTGCTGCAGCCCCGAAAAACCGCCAGAGCGTCGTCGTCGCGAGAAACGGAGTGTTTTGTCTTCTTTCTCTTTCTTTCTACTCCGTCTTAGACACCGGGTGGCCCTCCACCTTCTCCTGCGAACTGCTCACATCCACGGTCTCGTGGTGCACGGGGCGCTCCACGTCCACGGGCTCCAGGTGGCCCTCGACGTTGGCGCGCGAGAGGACGACGGCCGGGGCGATGGGGTACTCGCCCTCCTGGACCTTGGAGGCGGGCAGGAGGACGTTGAACCAGCGGGGCATGAAGAGGCCGACGAGGGAGATCAGGAGGACGACGTTCATGAAGGCGAAGCTGGCGATGCGGAGGGGGTCCTCGCGGGTGGCGTAGAAGCTGGGGTAGGCGAAGGACATGATGATGGCGACGATGGGGGCCGAGATGTACTTGAGGACGGGGCCCCAGAAGAAGGGGATCTTCCAGTTCTTGGAGCCCGGGATGGCGATGGTTGCGTTGAGGTCGCGGCGGAGTTGGTTGCCCTGTGATGAGAATTGTTTGGTTAGACGGGAAGAAGGGAAAGAAAGAAAGAAAGGAGAGAGAGAGAGAGAGGGGACTGACCGAGTAAAAGGAAAGCCACCAAAACTTGGCCAGCATCTTGTTACGACCAAACACGCCAGGGGTAGGGGCAGTGGGCGTCTTGGCGGTGAGCACACCGGCGACCAGGCCCACGGCAAAGAGACCGAAACCAACACCCGCCCCAGCCTCGGCGCTCACGGCATGGGCCACCACCAGACCGACGACGGTGCCAGCAATATAACCAAAAGTGTTGACGGAGAAGGAGACGACGCCGAGCTGGTCGACCACGTCGCGGAAGCGGTAGAGGGTGGTGGCGCAGGCGGCCTCGCACCAGACGGCCCAGAAGAGGGCGAGGTAGCTGATGAACGTATCGGCGGCATCGAGACACTCGTACCCAAACTCGGTGCAGAAGATGAGGGAAAGGAGGAAGGAGAAGATGACGATGACGGTGGAGACGACGGGGCGCGAGTACTTCTTCCCCCAGTCGGTGTCGATGACCATGGTCATCAGGGCCTCGAGCAGGGCGAAGGAGGAGCTGAGGCCGAGGATGAAGAGGGTGGCGAAGAAGAGGATGCCCCAGAACTGCGGGGCCGGCATCTGGGCGATGGCCTCGGGGTAGGTGTAGAAGCCGACGACGAAGGTGTTGAGGCGCTGCTCGTCGGGCTGGATGCCCAGGTAGCCGACGACGGCGAAGACGGAGAAACCGGCGACGACCTCGATGAGGGAGTTGGAGAAGACGATGATGAGCGAGTCCTGGACGGCGTTGGAGAACTTTGCGTTGTACGAAGCGAAGCTGGTGAAGTAGCCCATGCCGATGCCGGTGGAGAAGAAGATTTGGCCGCACGCCTCCTGCCAGATCTGGCCCTGGGCGAGCTTCCAGCCGTGCCACTCGGCGAAGTAGAGGCGGACGCCGTCGACGGCGTTGGGGAGGGAGACGGAGCGGCCGAGGAGGACGATGATGAAGACGAGGGGCAGGCCCATGGTGAAGTAGACGACGCGTCCGGTCAGGCCGACGCCCTTGAACATGCAGAGCCACACGACGAACCAGGTGAAGAGGCACCAGCCGACGGTCTCGGGCACCATGCCCATGCCGGGGTAGGTCTTCCACTGTTCGATGGTGGACAGGTCGTCGGAGAGGCGGCCGGGGATGGCGGGGACCTCCTGGATGACCCTCTCGTGGAAGAACTCGGCGACGTTGCCGTCGGCCCAGGGGAGCGGGTCGTGGAAGGAGTAGCGGAAGAAGGTCATGATCCAGGCGATCAGGGGCACGTAGTAGATGAGGACGGCGAAGCCGGTGTAGACGACGCTGAGGCCGACGCCCTTGGCGCGGTGGTTGGCGGTGTGCCAGGCCAGGACGCAGCCGCCGCGGAAGGCCTGGCCGAGGGCGATCTCGAGCATGAGGATGGGGATGGCGAGGAAGAAGAGGGAGATGAGGTAGGGGATGAAGAACTGGAGGCCGTGGTTGTTGAAGGCGATGGACGGGAAGCGCAGCAGGTTGCCCAGGCCGACGGCGCCGCCTAGCGAGGCCAGGATGAACGAGGCTCTCGTGCCCCAGACATCACGACCGTCTTCGGCTTTGTCGGCCGCTGGCGCGAACCAGTTGAGGGCCTTCTTCAGCGGGTTGGCGCCCATGGCGAGGGGAGGGAGAATCGACGCAAGTTAACGTTGTTCGGGCCCGCAAGTCGGCAGCCGCAATGAAGACTTGAGACGAAATCACCAGTCTGAGAGATGGAGATGTCAAGGTACGGACGACGACGGGGTGAAGAAGGAAAAGAGAAAAAGAAAGGTGGGGGAGCACGAGGTTGTCGACAGGAGAGGACGGGGCCAGTGTTAAAGGTTCCAGGAAGAGCGGCAGCACGCGGCAGCACGCGGCCTCGTCTTGGAGACAGACAGACCCTGCAGAGGCAGACGCGCATGTAATACCTACAACGTTATGCACTGGTCCACCTTGGCCGGGGTAAGCGAATCTCCTCGTCCGAGAACAGAAGGTCGATTGGGAAGCGGATCATCCAACGGAGGTTGATCGAGGCCATACAACGTACCTAATCATAATCATAGTAGACACAACTCCGCCCAGCCAAGCGTCCTGTTGGTATACACGTTGTGTGCCTCGTTACTAAACGAGCTTCCCGAAGTACGGGGGGGGGGGGGCTGAATTGCATAGCTCGGCAAGATGTGGATTGGCATGACGGTGAGTTCCGGAAGCGGCACGCACAGCAGCAACCTCGTCCAAGCCAAGACCAGCTCGCAGGGCATTGGTTAGTTGAGGCTCGCATTCATTTTCGTCATTGTCGTGGTCTTCAGTCTTCGTCTTTTCTTCTTCTTCTTCTTCTTCTTCTTCTTCTTCTTCTTCTTCTTCTTCTTCTTCTTCTTCTTTTCCCCCTTCTTTTCGTCCCTCTGAAATGCTTGTGTTAATGCACAAGCACAGGGATGCCTCGTGGAGGTTGCCAGGGTGTTGAGCTTGAGCATGTGCCGACCTTCTAGAAATGAAAGCAAAGCCGACGCTTCCAAGGCGCCAGTCAGTCTGGCGTGGTCTTGGTCCTCGCACCGTCCTTATCCCGTTACTAACCTTGACACAAACGTGTATGTATGTAATTACGCTGTGTTCGTTGGTCCGGACGTCCCAGTTGCGCCACCCTTCCTCCAAGAACTTGGCATACGACATCCATTGTCAGCGGCGCGGGGATTTCATCTCAGCTGATTGGCTTCGTGACCCCCAACCATCAGCTTGGCTCCCCCCAAGTTCGTTATCTTTTCATGGCACTTGTTGACCTCTACCTCTCATTGGTACGAAAGTGGTGTATGTTTTGCCTGCCGTCGGTTTCGCCGAGATGGACATGTCACCACCAAGACTCGAAGTGATCCGGTGAAAAGTTCCGAGTAAGAAGCACGTTGCAAGCAGTTTCCCACGACCGACCCCCGATGTTTCTATTACGAAGTGCGAAGTTGTAAAAAGGTCGCCCCCGCAAAGTCAGCGCCGTTTATAGTGTAGTGCCTTGTCAAGATGGAGCCAAGCCTGAGCCCGGTCGCCTCATAGTGCATAGAGTCTGCGCAACGCACGCTCTTTCTGCCGCGTCTGCCAAGTGCGGCCCTTAATACGCGTCTTGGCAATTCGGCACCTGGTAGAGATTAGTGGCTTTAGTGGCTTTAGTGGCTTTAGTGGCTTTATTAGTGGCACGACTGCCAGAGGAGTGCCCAGGGCAAGGAGAATGGAGGGTGACCTGATTCGTCGGTGTCGCTCTTGTGCTGTAGGTGAGTACCAAGTTGGCCACTGGCGTGAGGGGCGATTTACTGTACCAGGGTTCCCCGTTTCGTTTCGTTTGTTTTGCTTTCAGCGGGGGGAAAAAAGGGAAGAAAAAAAAGAAAGAAAGAAAAAAAAAGGGGCGGGGGGGAATAGCCCAGCCTGATGCGGGTCGCCCTGAAGCCGCCCCCTGTCGCTCCTTGCCGTCTTCGTCCCGTGAATAAAAGCTGAAGGCCCAGCATGGCACTCTGCAGACTGCACGGCGGCACATTAATTAGGATCAGCCGCAACGTGAAAAACGTTACCGAGTACTTCGTAAACGCCGTTGTGATTGTTCTGCCGCTTCGTACGCCGCCAGACTTCCGGCCGCGGGTTTCTATTGCCACGATTTGGCCAGTAAACCTTCCATGGCCTGTCCCTGTCCCCGTCCCCGTCCTTCTTGATAGTCGCGCATCCTCAATATGAGCTCTCCGAACAGCCCGTTCGGCCACCCAAACCAGGAACGGGTGAAATCCTCCCCGCTCCAGCTATTGACGCTCTCGTGCAGTACGCCGGCGTTGGTGGTCGAGCCGAGCAGCATACCCATCTGTGTGTCGACCTCCTCTTCCAACTCGGCCTCGTCCAATCCCGACATGGGCTCAAACGCCGTCAGCCCCGCAATGACGGCAGCCATCGGCCAGGCCTTCCCGGGTCCGACGTGCGGCCCGCCCACGGCGGAGAGGACGGGCCCCTTCATAAAGTACGGGTTGGCTTCGCTGAGAACGAAGCGGCGGGTGTTGCGGTAGATGGCGTGGTAATCGCGCGCCGGGTCGACGCCGGTGTAGTTCCAGAGCGGCATGGCCAGCAGGGACGGCACGTTGGCGTCGTCCATGAGGTTGGTGCCGCCGTAACCGTCGACTTCATAGGCGTACACGTCGCCAAAGCCGGGCCGTGGGACCACGGCGTCCTTGTCGATGCCGCGACGGATGCCGAACGCCATGTCGCGCATGGTCGAGGTCAGGTTCTGCGCGAGTTCGCCGTCGAGGGCGGCCATGATGTCGGCGGCGGAGTCGAGGTAGGCGGCGAACATCATGTTCGCGGGGACGAGAAACTGGAAGATGGTGGCGTCGTCGGACGGCCGGAAAGCCGTGCGTACCATGCCGTTTTCCTTGCAAGGGTTGCCGAGGCCGTCGTTGGTCAGCGTCTCGCTGCCGCGGTCTGTCCAGCCGGTGAAGGTCCATGCCGAGTGCTGGACCTTGCCGTCGGCGTCGTAGGTGCCGCGGCGCATGGCTCCGGCGGCGCGGACGGCGGCGTCGACGGCCTCGACCCAACGATACTTTTGGAAAAAACCGACGTCTCCCGTCTTGTCGTGGTAGGCAACGGAGATCTGCAGGAACGACGCGAGCGAGTCGAGCTCCCACTTGCAGTCGAACACCTTGACGGGGTCGTAGGGAGGGTTGGGGTGGTTCAGATGGTAGGCGCCGTTCTTGGTCGGGGGGATGCCCGACTCGGGAGGCGGCTGGAAGCTGTGGCAGTAAGGCGATATGGTGATGTAGCGGGCATGGGCGTTGATGATGCCACGCCAGAGGCTGGCGAGAGAGTCCGGGTCGGACGACGCTCGCAACAAGGGCAAGTAGGAGTAGATCTGAGAGGCCGAGTCTCGCAGCCACATGGCGTCGATATCACCCGTGACGACGTAGGCCAGCTCCTGGTCGGTGACGCGTGATTCGCCCGTGTCGGGGTCCGACTCGTTGGCATAGCCGCGCCAACGGACCATGGTGTCGAGCGTCATGGGATAGGCGTTTTCGAAGAGGCGGGCCAGGTCCGGGTCGCGGATGGCCGTCTTCACCTCTGCGATGAGAGACTCGAGTTCCGGCAGAGTGAAGGTACGACAGTGCGGCGGGGGACGCATGTGGGGAAACCGACGCTTGCCTTCGGAGTTTGGGCCAGGACGAGTCCTCATCCATTGGACATGAGAAACGCATTTCAAAGCCGTGTCCGAAGCCGTGTCCGAAGTTGTGCCCCCATCGTCAGGGGCAGGGGCGGGAGCGGGAGCAGGGGGCGGTGGCTGGTTCTGCGGAGGTGACCCAGCACCGGATATGGGGCGAGGTTCGTCCAGCGGCGGGGAAGCCGGCGTGAAAGGGGCCGGGGGGTTGACCGGAGGGAGGGGGGTGAACGGAGGGGGGGCGGGATCTTCCCCCGAGGGTTCAATCCACGGGGGTTCAATCCACAGGGGGGTATGGCTATCGTCATGGTCATGGTCATGGTCGTGGTCATGAGAATGCAACTCCAATTCCCGGTCGCTCCCGTCTGCAAAGCGGTTCGGGGAGAGATCCAGGTCTGTCGTGGATCCAAGGTAGGGACCAGTGGCTAGGAACGAACTACCGAGCAACAGGTAGGCGACAAGGAAAGCTGCAGCGACGGCAGCGGCGAGGATGCGTGTTGGCCGGGCTCGTGCCCAGGCTCGAGAATTACGGCCGAAGAGGGAAGGGCCGGATGGGGAAGTTGAAGAAGTTGAAGACGAAGAGGAGCTGGCACCGGTGCCGAGGAGGCGGAGGATGGCGGGGGGGTTGAGGACCGCCATATGGGCGACTCGTTGAGCCTATATATGGCTCGCTCGAATAATCCGCCGAAAGTTGAGACAGGACTGAGACGAGAGGGCCGAGGTCGAGGTCCAGGGTCGAGGAATGAGTGAGGGATGCCGGGAAGCCTCTTACTGACCCATGGGATAGATGGTGGACAATCATGCAGCGTACATACTCCGCTCTAGGCCGAGGAACGGGTCTGTCTGAATTCTGAACCAGCTGGAGAGGTGGATATGGACAAGAATGGGTCGATGGGTTTGGCGTGCTGATGGGTTGAAGGAGTTGATGAGTGTGGGTTGAGCATGGGAATAGACGGGGACGGCCGAGGACAGGAGGACAGGAGGACAGGAGAACAGAGGATAGACGACAGACGACGGACGACAGCTACGTCGGTCGGTCACAGGACGCAGGTTACACCGATACGTACTCCGTGCCTGCTACAAGCGCCATCATTGCGTCGCATTGATTGAAGTGAAGGAACATGACAACATGACAAAATGGAAGCCACGATATACGAGACCCCGGTGTGCGGTCGAGACTTCCCGTGCTGGGTAAAGAGACAGGCATCCGTGTAGGAAGACCTGGGGAAGCTACGAGTCTCCGACTTGCCCAACTCGGAAGGCAGCTCGTTCCTCCCCTTCCGCGTGTATCCTGGGGAGGTATGTATTATGTACCTTATACTTCTGATGTACTTTGTTCTCTTCGTCAGACCATTCACCTAGTGCGTCTTGGCACACCTCTCTATGACCTGATTGGGTAATGCTTTGACGGATCCCATGTCCAGCTCCTCCTTCCTTTGCCGGATAAGGTACTCATTATGTCCAGGTGCCTCGAGCTACAAACTCGTATTGCATCGAACCAACTCCATACCCCACACAGTCTTCTCTCTGGGAAGGTAGGTACCTTATCTAAGGTACCTGACAGAGGAGACGTACAGATACCTTAGGTACCTACCTAGGTAGCCGCTGTGGCGTGAACGATGCGCACTGCGACCGCTGAGGGCTTCATGGCAAAGACGATTTGCCCAGAGAATCTCCCACGCGAAGCGCTGATAATATCTCGCTCTATCATCATTCTCTGATGTACCCGAGGCAAAAGAAGAAGACAAAAAAAATACACGCTATTCCTGAACGTCCAACCCAAACAGGAAGTATTCAGAAAACCAGCATCCACGCTGAGGTCACCTCCCACGTCCCTGACATGATTTCCAGAAAACCCCCCAGCACAGTTGCGGGAGATCATTGCATCGAGGAGCGCCGGGTCGGGTCGGACGCAGGTACCAGTTTTACCAACCCAGGAGGCCATGGAAAGAGTAATGACGACCATCACCCGGATCCAGCGCTTCCCCCAAGACCGGAGCCGGGTGCACTCTCAGGCGATATCCCATCGTCTGCCTCCACCCAGCTCGATTCAGATCCAAGTGGCATCCACCCCATCGCGAAGGAGACGTCCGCGGGCAAACATTTCTCGGGGATACCGCCAAGCCAGCTAAAGATTCTGCCGCTGTCCCAGTACCCAGGCAGCAAGCGGTCCCAGGGGTGTGCCATCGCTATCGGGCCCCCGCCTGCTTGTCCCGTGGCTTGGCGTGCCCAACAGCTGTCCGAATCCCGCTCGCGTCTTCCTGGTTGTTTGTACGGCGGAGACACGTCGTCGTTCTTGTCGTGACAGGGGTCGGCGGTGCTATCTTTGCGGGGCGTCGCTGTTTTGTCCTGCTTGCCGGGCTCGATATCGCGGGAAGCTTGGGGCCATCCTTTTCTGCATCTAGCCCCGTCAGAGCGAGATTGGTTGTCGTTGGCCATCACTCTGGAAAAGAGGGTTGAACCGATAACTATCGACAACGAATGATAGGAAATAAGAATGTCGGAATGTCTTTGTTGGACGACAGTCTACCTATGCTTCGGGACTGAATGCGATAGCGATGAAAATATAATGACCCAGATCTCATCTTGGTTTTCCGGATGCCATAGACGGTTGGGGACAGGAGGAAAAACACAGGACAGGGTGAACAATACTCAAAGTTTAATCGCTTCCATCTGGAACGGCAGACCTCTCCTGCCTTGCAGGTGTTGAGACCACAGAAGGTTTCGAGTCTTTCGTACCTTACCTATCGCATCAACTTGTCCAAGTCCGAGGGTTGTTCAAACAGATGTACCAACGGCAAGAACAGCTCGGCCCTCTGCCCATCCGCTTCGACGTCCCCTTTTCCTTCTCCCAGCGCCCGCATCTCGGCCCACGACTTCCAGAACCAAGCTGGGCACTTGTCAGGTTCCATCGCCTTCGCCGTACCCCGTTAGCTCGAGCACTCACAAGAGGGAGGAAAGAACATGGCAATTCTGGAAAGAGAAAACTCACCACAGGCTGAGCACCCGCCTCCTCCATCACGCACTCGACAAACACGGTAACGTAATGCTTCCCCAACGACCCAAACACGTCGTTCGTCACAGCCACCACCTTGACGCCGCGCACTCGCAGTCCCGTCTCCTCCAGCGCCTCCCGCTCCGCGCACGCGAAGAAGCTCTCCCCGTGTTCCAGGTGGCCGCCCGGCAGCTGCCATGTTCCTATATCGCACGCGCCCGCGGAGTTAGCAGCCCGCTTGGGGGGGGTTTCACTTTCAACATCAAAATCCATCTTGCGGGCACAGGCAAGGAAGAGAGTAACGATATTTGTTGCGTCAGAATACAAGAAGAAGAAAAGGGAAAAAAAGAAATTACCTGATCCGTGGCTGCTCAACCTCTTTCCGCAGACGACCTGGCCTTGCGCATTGGTGATGATGGATGCGACCCCGACGCGCGGGTGAGGGGGGCCGCCCGTAGTCGCTGTGCTTGGAGCCGCCATCCTGCAAGAATACGGTATACCTAGCAACTTCGCCGTAGGTATAGGTACCCTAGATGTACAAAAGTCGACCTCGACGGTCGCTGATACTGACGGGACAAAAAGGGCCGGACCATGTGTTGAACGGTCTCCCGTCATCCTGAGTCTGAGCGGTCGACTCTCTCCATCGATCCAAGGAACCGGGCCGGCTTCGGATGTTGGCGTATTACATAAGCAGGCTAAAAAGGGGTCATAACTATCATATTCTATCACGTGAGCCACGGTATAGTGCTCTCCTATTAGTTGGAGGTGCCCTACTATCCTCGCTTAGAAGGTGGCAGATATATTTAGGACACGTATACCCGTCCCCTTTTTCTTTCTCTTTTATATATAATATAATTATATATTTCCTGAATTAACGCTCCCTATAAGCACGCTCCCGTTAATTCAATAGTTATAAGCCCGGGTAATAGTAGTAACTAGTAACTTCCTGCTAATCTATTATCTACGTTTATTTTTATATACTTCTATAGTATTACGGAGCCCTCCTACGCTCTCTCTCCTAATAATAAGCTTTTATTCGCTAAACCCTTACTCGATACTATATCGAATAAGCTTAAGATCACGGCTAAAGCGCTCGGTATCCCGCGCCTTAAATCCACGCGGTAATAGGCCGATTAGATCTTCTATATCCAGTCGTATACGTAAGGGATAAAGGTCTAGGCACTGCTCGATTCTAGCTAAAAGGATTAGCTAAATAACTGTCCTGAGTATATTATGCCTAAATCCCTGGATTAACTGCGCGAATAGTATTCCTAAGGCGAGGGCGATAATACTATCGTGCCCTCGACGCAAGAGCTTATACGCCTCGCCGAAATCGAGAACTAGTAGACTATAGCCTAGAATTAAAAGCTTAGTCGCCTTATTAAGGCGCTCGATAAGGCTAATTAACTGCTTAAAACCACCGTGGAGACCTCTGCTTATTAATAGGCTATCGAAGAAGCTATTAAGAGATATCCCGGCTATAATAGAGAAAAATAAAATAGACACTTTACGTTACGCCATATAATAAAAGAACTTAAGAGTAGCTTTACTCTAAGTAGTATTTATACGAAGAAAGAGGTAAGACGAGTATACGAAAAGTATCTATAAGACGCTTATTAAGCTAATACTAAAGTGGCTATATAGTATACGGAGTGGAATACCCTTATTAGACGCGCACGTTAGTAAAAGGTAGCCGAGATTAAAGGACTTACTACTATTCGGAACTTTCTTATAGTAGTTAGATAGAAGTCTACGCCTATTTAGGCAGAAACTAAGCTTTAGCAGCTAGTAATAAAAGAGGTCCGCGGCGACGAGATTTCCGATCTTCTAATATACGGCCGCGAGTTTAACGCTATTATAAGCGCTCTAACCACGGACGGTATACGCTACAGCGTATACACGACCCTAGGAGACCGCTTAGATAATAACGAAGGCGGAAAGAAGCCTAAGAAAAAGAGCACTAATTACCCCTATTAACGCGAATATACTTAGAAGCCAGAGCACTATAATAAGCTAGAGTACGCTCTAACCGGAAAATACGAGTAGAGATCTAATACCTACGTTAATAATAAGTGGTATAAGGAGATACGGAAGGAGATTAAGCTCCTAAAGTGGAAGAGTTTACGCGAAAAACTATTCAAAAAGGGATAGGAAAGCTCGGAGAGCGGTAATAGTAAGGGAGATAGGTATCCTAGGGAGGTTATTATAACTATCCTGGATCCCGCCTTTATCTATACTATAGAAAAGGTCCCTAGAATCTACGCCGCGCTCCGACTAGGCCCCTACCCGCTCTTATAAAGCACTCTTTTTAATAATTACGGCGTAACTCACCTTATTAACTTAATCGACCTGCTTATTCCAGGCTCTTTTGTTCCTATAAAGGGATCTATCGAATCCGGTATAACCGACTTTCCGATTATTAGCAAAGGTAAACGGCTTCTTAAGGGAATCCTTAATAAACCTTTAGGTACTCCGAAAGCTAACTTAGAGCTTAACGATATAGTTATCGTAGAGGGATTTTACACGAATATTATATCGAAAGCTCTATTATATAAGGTTAGGATTTAGTATTCGGGATATAACTACTTATTACGCTTTAGAACGGCGGAGAAGAGCATAGTCTTATTAAAGCTGCTTCGACGCTTTAATATAACTATCCTTTAGTATAAGCTAATTTTATCTTCTTCTTCTTATTCGTTATTCTAATCGATACTATATAGTGTTATTCCGATTAATTACGACTATTAATATATACTAGTTATAGTAGTCGATCGACTAATAAGAGCTTACCGATATTACCAACCTTCCCGAGACTCTCCGCGTCCACGAGTCGACGAAGAATAGTTATAGCACTTAAGAGTAGGCTATCTTAGACTAAGCGCTCTACGAGTATTAGTTCGTAACGCTAGGAACGTGTTAATTAAGGGAACTAAGCAGATAGACTACGAGATATACTCTAGAACCTGGGCACGTTAAGTTATATCTCGATACACGTTAGAATACCACTCCCCACGACCGTTTTAACGTATTTATTAGGATTTTTAAGAGCTACCTAAGAGCTATAACGGTATACGATATCTTCTTATAATAAAGAACGAATATAGCGGCTGGATCTATATACTGCCTTTGGCTTCGAAAAACAGCGTTACGGTTTATAACGCGCTGTAAGCCTTTAAACGATAGGTTAATCGGCAGTTTATATTATATATTTGTAAAATACGTAGTGATAATAAGCCCTTAATCGTTAATCTAGCAGGGGATTTAATAACCCAGGTATAGGCGAACAGTTAAGGGATCGATATAGAAATTATACCGCCCTATACCTATAAACCGAACGGAGGTAGCGAAAGAGCCGGTTAACTGATTATTATAAAGTCTAATACTATACTTAATGGAGCAGGAATTCTACTAGATAAATAGCCAGAGAGTACTTAAACGGTAGCGTTATTATATAATATAAGTCCCTTATAATAATACGATAGAAATCCCTAGTAGAAATCCTCGATTTATAGTTTAGAGATAATACGCCGATTCTGGTAAGAGAGTATATAGCCGACCTACGCCCTAATTAGAGTGGTATTTGTACTTATAGCTACCGCGCCTATCTAATAGCGAGGGATAAGGAGGCTAGGAGGAATAGAAACTATATAAGGTTTAACTAAGGGGATATATTAGGTATTTTATAGGTTACGTTACCTATAATATTTACCGAGTATAGATTCTATAGCTTTAAAAGGTTATTATAACGCGTAATATATAGTTTAATAAGCAGCTATTTTATAAACCATGGCTCGAAGAAGCAGAATAGATCCCGGAGCCCGAGGCGAGGAACTAGCTTATAACTTATAAAATATAAGAAGATAAAGATAACGACTTTATCCGATAGGCCTACCCTCCGCGTGGATTAATTAATAGCGCACTTTCTAGAGAATAAGTATAGTCCACGGGTTCGAACTCGGGGGTAGGAGTAGTAGAGGCTGAATTAGACGCTTTATCGCCACTACTAGATATACCTAGTGCACCCGAACCGCCCGTAACAGGACTTTAAACCCCACGCGTAATACCTGATCCTTAGAGTAGGAATCTTTAGGTTATAAGCGTAGAGCCGTAGTCTTCGGAGGAACTCTTAATTAATAATTCTTCCAATTAATAAGATAACGGAGCGGCTACTAAAGAAGATACCGTAACCGATACGCTAGGATTATATATACTAGAGCTTAATACGGACACTTCGACGATTTTAACTATAGAAAGGAGTACGTAGGCGACGGTATAGGGACTAGCTACCCTTAATCCGCACCACGGTATTAGTCGCACTATAGCGTCCGGATCTAAACCACCTATCCGACCGACTCCTAAGGTGACCGCCTATTAAAGAAAAAAGAGCATATTAGTAAAGGAAGTAACGCGCGCTAGCGTAAGAATCACCGATCGCCGTGCTTAAGGAAAGACTATTTGGATTAATCCACGGATATATTAGGTAGAGCCAGATAAGCCTTTAATATATACCTTTTTTTTATCTAATTAATAAGAAGAGTGCTAGGACAGGCTAAAAGGGCTTCTAACCTTTGATTTAATAATTCTTAGAGTAGCCGATACTAAAATAAATACCCGTTCGAATACTAAAAAACAGGCTATAACGTCACCGAAGCCCTTAATCGACGGTAGGGTTTATCGCGACCAACTAAAGGCTATATTAAGGTATTAGCGGGAGCTTACTAACTACCCGATACGTAAACGGTTTAAGGAAGCCGCGTAGAAGGAGGTGAATAAGCTAATTAAGAAGCGTATATAGAGAGAAATTAAGCGCTTAGAGGCGAAGTTAAAGTCTTTTCCGTTAAAGTGGGTTTTTACCTATAAGTTCGACTAAGACGGATATCTTAAACGATATAAGGCACGCTTATATATTCAAGGGGACCTATAAGAGAGCTTAATAATTAAGGGAACCTACGTAGTAACGCTCGCTGCACGATCTTTTTATATTATTATAGCCCTAACTGCTTAGTTTAATCTAGAGGTTAAGTAACTTAATATCGTTAACGCCTTCGTTAACGCCTAAAGGAGTAAAACAGGAACGCCCGTTATATACGAACTTCCTGATAGATTTAAGTAGCCCGATAAGTGCTTAAAGCTCGATAAAGCACTATATAGACTACACGACTCGCCTAGACTATAGTTTTAGACCTTCGCGGCCATCCTGATAAACTTAGGGATAGAGGCTAATAAGGAAGAACTATGCCTATTCTACACTAAGGCTTAAGATGTATTCGTTATCTTCTTTATAGACGATATTCTTATATTATTTTATAGAGATAATGCTATAAACGGCCTTAGGACTATCGAAGGGATTAAAGTAAGGTTCGAGGTATCGGAAAAGGGGGAAGCCGATTAGTTTTTAGATATTAAGATTACTCGAGATCGCCCTCGACGTAAGGTTTTCCTCTCCTACGACTTATATATCGAAAAGATTATAGCTAGGTTTAACTTAGACGCTCTAAACACCTACCTAGTAATCCTTATTCCCGTTATAGAATACCGGAAAAGAGAAGACGAAGCCACCGCTTAAGAGATTAAATCTTATTAAGAAAAG